GTAATATATTCATATATTGATGTATTTCCTGAATTCTCAGCTCAACTTCTCATGTGAATGTTTTTGTTTCTGGAGATGAACTCAGAAAAATCACTTTCAGGATTAAAAACATGTACAATAGGTCGCCTCCAGGCCTCCATTGAAAAAGAGATCTGAGATCTCAGCAGGACTTGCCTGGTTAAAGAAGGCAAATAAATAAATCCTGGAAAATCCAAASTCCACCACGGTCCCAACGTTAACATTCCTAAAATGTCTGAGTCAAACCAGGCCGGTTAGAGAAAGRTGTTCGGATCAAAAGCAGAACATAAACATGAAATGTTGTCAGAACTTGTCCCCTTCCTGAACATCCAGTGGGAGATGTTCTGGAAAACCAAGCTAAAGCTTGCACACGGACACATTTAGGTCACTGGCAAGAAAACCCTGAAGCCTTTGATCTGCGGCGTGTCATTAATAAACCCGATCTCAAGAAATAGTTAATGTGGTCTTGATCTGAGTTTGGGAACATCAAGTGTGGAACATGAGGGTGGAACCGGAGACTAGAGGGACCCACTTCAGTCTCCTAACAGGGTCGCTTCACGGCTCGTTAGGAACGCACCGGATCTCTATAAAAACAGATTCTGTTCTCGTCCACGAGGTCAGAAAACTGAAAGTCTTTATTTACTATAATAATGTAAAATAAAACAAACACATTTTTATTATTTAGCTCACTTTCTGAGTGTAAAATCCTAGTTTAAAAATACCACAAACATTTATCACTGTTTTTACATTTTGCAAATAATTTTTTTATTAAATGTTAAATTTAAATGTTAAACGTTTTGTCTAAATATTAAATCCTAAATCTAAATGTAGAAGTTAAATCTTAAATGTTGCAGCTAAATGTTTGTTTGCATTTAATTCCACAATGGAACACAAACTTTGCCTTCGGTGTTCGGCTTTTGTTGTGATGTCATCATCCTGCGACAAAAGCTTATGCTAACGTTGCTAACACTTCCCTACAAGACATTAAACTTGCAGTTATGGATGATGTTCGAGCTGCAATTCAAACTGTTAGCAGCATTAGTAGTTAGCAGTGTTAGTAAAGTTAGCATTAGCAGTGCTAGCTGCATTAGCAGTTAGTAGAGTTAGCAGTGTTAGCAGCATTAGTAGAGTTAGCGGTGTTGGCAAAGATAGCAGTGTTTGTAGAGTTAGTAGCGTTAGCAGCGTTGGCAGTGTTTTCATTGTTGGCAGAGATAGCAGTATTTGTAAAGTTAGCAGCATTATTTGTGTTAGCAGAGTTAGCAGTGTTAGCAGCGTTGGCAGAGTTAGCAGTTTTGTAGAGTTAGCAGCATTAGCCGTGTTAGCAGCGATAGAAGTTTTGCTAGAGTTAGCTGCATTACCTGTGTTAGCAGAGTTAGCAATATTAGCAGAGTTAGTGTTTTCTGTGTTGGCATTGATAGCAGTATTTGTAGTTAGCAGAATTAGCTGTGTTAGCAGAGTTAGCAATGTTAGCAAAGTTAGCAACATTGGCAGAGTTAGCAGTATTTGTAGAGTTAGCAGCATTAGCTGTGTTAGCAGCGATAGCAGTGTTATTAGTAGAGTTAGCAGCGTTGGCAGAGTTAGCAGTATTAGTAGAGTTAGCAGTGATGGAAAAGTGGGCATTTCAACATTTCTGTTAAAACGGTTCCATTTTTCTACAAACTTAAAAAAAACGTCTGTCGTCTGATTAAGATGTATTTTCATTATGACAAAATAGAGAGTTTCATTTGTCCTGAGGTTTTTAAGAACTAAATTAAATTTCCAGAATAAGTTGCAAATAAGCTGCGTTCATCGTGACAAAAAAAAAATGGAAAAAAAGGAAGCAGGCTTGTTTTTGACCTTACTATCTGCATTGTTCCACATATCCAGATAACGGCAAAGATTAGCAAAGCAGAGTCAAAAATTACACGCAAGAGGAAACTGAAATAGGATGTGTAAGAGTTTCTTAAGAAGAGCTTGCCATCAGACAGTTTCAGCGCTCCTGGAGATAAAGAGCTCAGGAACAGGGCCGGGCTTGAAGAGACGAGCGCGTCACGACACCACAGAGGTCACACACCTGCAGACCTGAGCTGCTTGTTTCTGACGAGAGAAYGTTTAATCAGTCCAAAATGAAGACAGAAGCAGCGTCTGACTGTTTGCAGCAGCTTATTAAGTGTGTAAAGATGGAACAATGACTGGGTTTACTCGTCCCCTCCATGTTTGAGTCTTTGTCTGCAGAGGCAGAGGGGAAGTGTGAGTATCTGCTCCATCTTTGCCTCGGATTAAACTCTGAACCAGTTAAAATTATCRCTCAGGATCATGTGCTGCTCAGTTCTCTTTAGCTCAGAGAGGCCGAACACAGAGGGGCTATATGTGGGACACTGAGCCTCAAAGTATCGAAAGCTCAAAACCTCAAAACCCGGCTTGTTTCCTGTTGCAAATAAGTTTTCAGTGCCTGGGATTGTCGTCGCTGTCGCTGCATTTCTGCAGATTTTCAGCTTTTTCAGCTGCATTTCTGCAGATTTTCAGCTGT